CTGCTTTAGACCCTACAGCACAACCCGCTGCCGGGGAGGAGATACGTTTTCCTGAGGACGCGACAGTCGAGGATATGATGAAGTTGTTGCCGCGCCCCATCACCAAGCAGAGCCTGCGAGCCCTTCTCGCGAATCTGCCGTGCCTCCGGGAGCGTGCTGAGAATGAAACTTGGGTAAGTCTTTTTTCTTGTCACGGAATGCGCGCTAGATATTTTTGATATGTAGTTTTACACATAACAACCCTCTAATGTTTTGCAGATCCGGATTGAATGCGACAAGTACGTACTGTACCTGAACAAGAGAGATGTATGGAGCATAGTGAAGTCATTTAAAAAACAGCCAAATACCATGTTCCGTGAGCTCATGGTGCTGTGTGTGCCGACTGTTGTACTGGCGCTCCCCTTCATGACGGCGGCAGGGACCGGCGGGACAGTGGGCATCCCAGAAGATGTGTGGAAAGGACTCGCGCGTACGTATTTAATTACTTTTTCCGAAATTTATTTACAGGAGATGGGTTATTTGCGTCGCGCCCTTTTTGTGTATAAGGTGCAAATCACCTACCCTCTACCCTGAACATTCTAAACCTATTTTGGTTTATTAATTAAATTCGCTCTTTTACAGACTATGTGGGTACTAAATGTGAAGGATTCATCAAATCACCATCAAAATGTGTCTTGAACCTGATCCGCGACGCCAAGTCCGATCCAAAGGTGCAAGGGAAGGTGTGGAGGCTGCTCAACGAACCGGCAGTTCCAGCTCCAGCTCCAGCTCCAGCAGCCAACGAACACCATGTACCTGTCGAGGCCAACATTGACCTTCCCCTTGGACAGCTTGCAGGCGCTGGCGACAATCTTGTTGGTGTCCCCGCACCTATGGCAGGAGCACCCGTAGCCATGCACGCTAATGTGTACCCTGTAGGGCAGGACTGGAATAATAATGCTGCAAATGATTTACAACATGGCTATGGTGGGGGCCTTTATGGGGGCTATCAATGATATTGATTAATTGATGGTATTGATGTATTCAATCTCAATATTTTTTTTTGTTTTTGTTTGAATCTTTGTTAATTAGTATGTAAAAATGACAGGCATGCATGCTATATAATTTTCTTTTTTTCTGTAGCATATGCATGTTTTGTGCGTTTATGCAACAATTTATTTTATGTTATTTTGTTTAGATTTGACTCTAATTGGATGTTTACTTTGACAAACTTTATATGACAGAACCTGAATCATGAAATTAAAATTAATACAAATGAACAGTCTCTAATTCCTCCTCATTCAAATTTTTCTGTTACATAAGAAAACTGTATCATAGTTACGGATCTTCCTTTTTGCAAGAAATAAGATCGGTAATGAGCACGAAGGGATTCGCGAATAGTCTAAATGGTAGGCAACCCGCCCGCCCCGCACCTGCAGCGGTGGGGAGAGGGGGGGGGGATTACACCGGCTCGAAAGAGTCTCCGCACTGTCTCGTACTCGACTCCCCGTTGGCTCGCGTGGCTTTGTTAGGGGCTCCATGCCGTCTCCACAATGTCTCGACATTAGATCGTACCCGTCTCCAGAGTGTCTCCGTTTGAGCTCGCCGGCGTCTCTTGGGAGTTCCGGGGAGCGCTGGGAACTCACATGGCCCGTCTCTGCGTTGTCTCGACAATGGCTGCACACTGGCTCCGGAGAATGTCTCGACGATGTCTGCATTCTGTCTCAATCCCGAGACATAATCGAGACAGCGTCGAGAGAGCTTAGGTGTCTCGAGAATGTCTCAAGGGTCGCTCCTCATTGCCTCCCGAACGTCTCTCAGACCGACTCTAGAATATCTCGAGACAATCTCTCGGCCCGCTCTAGAATGTCTCAAAAACGGCTCGGCTCGAGACATTCTAGATCGATCTTTTCTTGTACGGG